GTCATAGTATAGTATGTCGTCCCAAATGATGAAAAAAGTCATAGTATAGTATGTCGTCCAAAATGATGAAAAAAAGTCATAGTATAGTATGTCGTCCAAAATGATGAAAAAAAGTCATAGTATAGTATGTCGTCCCAAAACATGAAAAAAAGTCATAGTATAGTATGTCGTCCCAAATCATGCACAAAAAGTCATAGTATAGTATGTCGTCTCAAATCATGCAAAAAAAAAAGTCATAGTATGTCGTCCAAAACCATGAAAAAAGTCATAGTAGTATGTCGTCCCAAATGATGAAAAAAGTCATAGTATAGTATGTTGTCCAAAATCATGCACAAAAAGTCATAGTATAGTATGTCGTCCAAAACCATGAAAAAAGTCATAGTATAGTATGTCGTCCCAACTCCTGAAAAAAAGTCATAGTATAGTATGTCGTCCCAAATGATGAAAAAAGTCATAGTATAGTATGTCGTCCCAAAATGATGAAAAAAAGTCATAGTATAGTATGTCGTCCCAAAAAATGAAAAAAAGTCATAGTATAGTATGTCGTCCAAAATCATGCAAAAAAAACGTCATAGTATAGTGTGTCGTCCCAAATCATGCACAAAAAGTCATAGTATAGTATGGCGTCTCAAATCATGCAAAAAAAGTCATAGGATATTGTGTCGTCCAAAACCATGAAAAAAAGTCATAGTATAGTATGTCATCCCAAATGATGAAAAAAAAGTCATAGTATAGTATGTCGTCTCAAATCATGCAAAAAAGTCATAGTATAGTATGTCGTCCCAAATGATGAAAAAAAGTCATAGTATAGTATGTCATCCCAAATCATGAAAAAAAGTCATAGTATAGCATGTCGTCCCAAGTCATGAAAAAAAAAGTCATAGTATAGTATGTCGTCTCAAATCATGAAAAAAGTCATAGTATAGTATGTCATCTCAAATCATGCAAAAAAAGTCATAGGATATTGTGTCGTCCAAAACCATGAAAAAAAGTCATAGTATAGTATGTCGTCCAAAATGATGAAAAAAAGTCATAGTATAGTATGTCGTCTCAAATCATGAAAAAAGTCATAGTATAGTATGTCGTCCAAAATGATGAAAAAAAGTCGTAGTATAGCATGTCGTCCCAAGTCATGAAAAAAAGTCATAGTATAGTATGTCGTCTCAAATCATGAAAAAAGTCATAGTATAGTATGTCATCTCAAATCATGCAAAAAAAGTCAGGATATTGTGTCGTCCAAAACCATGAAAAAAAGTCATAGTATAGTATGTCGTCCAAAATGATGAAAAAAGTCATAGTATAGTATGTCGTCCAAAATGATGAAAAAAAGTCGTAGTATAGCATGTCGTCCCAAATCATGAAAAAAAGTAATAGTATAGTATGTCGTCCCAAATCATGCAAAAAAGTCATAGTATAGTATGTCGTCTCAAATCATGCAAAAAAGTCATAGTATAGTATGTCGTCTCAAATCATGCAAGAAAGTCATAGTATGTCGTCCAAAATCATGAAAAAAGGTCATAGTATAGTATGTTGTCTCAAATCATGCAAAAAAGTCATAGTATAGTATGTCGTCCAAAATGATGAAAAAAAGTCATAGTATAGTATGTCGTCCAAAACATGAAAAAAAGTCATAGTATAGTATGTCGTCCAAAATCATGCAAAAAAAAGTCATAGTATAGTATGTTGTCCAAAACCATGAAAAAGTCATAGTAGTATGTCGTCCCAAATGATGAAAAAAAGTCATAGTATAGTATGTTGTCCAAAATCATGCACAAAAAGTCATAGTATAGTATGTCTTCCCAAATCATGCACAAAAAGTCATAGTATAGTATGTCGTCTCAAATCATGCAAAACAAAAAGTCATAGTATAGTATGTTGTCCAAAACCATGAAAAAAGTCATAGTAGTATGTCGTCCAAAACTATGAAAAAAAGTCATAGTATAGTATGTCGTCCCAAATGATGAAAAAAAGTCATAGTATAGTATGTCGTCCCAAAACATGAAAAAAAGTCATAGTATAGTATGTCGTCCAAAATCATGCAAAAAAAAAGTCATAGTATAGTATGTCGTCAAAAATCATGCACAAAAAGTCATAGTATAGTATGTTGTCCAAAATCATGCACAAAAAGTCATAGTATAGTATGTCGTCCCAAATCATGCACAAAAAGTCATAGTATAGTATGTCGTCTCAAATCATGCAAAAAAAAAAAGTCATAGTATAGTGTGTCGTCCCAAATCATGAAGAAAAGTCCTAGTATAGTATGTCCCAAATCATGAAGAAAAGTCCTAGTATAGTATGTCATCAAAATGAAGTGAAAGAAAGTTATAATATAGAATGTCATCAAAATGGAAAAAAGTGGAAAGTGAAAGTCATAAAATGTCATTTAAATGTCATAAAAATGTCACACTATACTGTGCAATTAATCTACCATAAAAATGTCAGTGTAGTACATAGTAAAAAAAAAGTCATATTATATAAATTCATAGCATAGTATTTCATAAAAATGTCTACAGTATGTCATGAAAACATAATAAAAATGTCAGTGTAGTATGTCTTGAAAAATATGTTAGGTTTTAAACATTTCATAGTGAAGTATAAGTCATAAAAAATGTCCAAAAATGTATTTTTAAAAAAGTCATAGCATCGAATGTTAAAATAACATAGGATAGTATGTGAAATAGGGGATAAAAAAGTTATGGTTTAGCATGTCATGAAAATGTATTGAAAAAGACATAATATAGAATGAAAAAAAAAAAATGAAAAAGAGCCATAGCATGTCTTAAAAATTTCACAATATAGTATGTAAACAAAACAGAACAGAACATAGTACAGTTTGTCATTAAAATGACAATATTGTAGGTCTTAAAGAGGAGTTATAAAACAAGTAATAGTGTAGTATGTCATAAAAATAGTCACAGAAATGTTGAGACAGTAATCATAAAAATGCCATGAAAAGTCATAGTATGTCATGGCATCAAAAACAAAAGTCTGCACCCAGAATGTTCTCTTTCTACGTAGGCTTTTGAATCACTTTTACCATCCATAAAGGAACAGACTTTGATGATTTACTCACTCGTCCATTGGCTTCTCCTTTCCACCAGCCCTGGTCCCCGCCGATCTTGCTGTAGATTTTAACGATGTCTCCTTCTCGCAGTGACAGCTCTCTCATGTCTCGTGCTGCAAAGTTATACCTGGCCACTGCTGTACTGACCACCCGAGGCGTAAACACTGAAAATTGAAACAATGGGAACTCAGGGTATTTACATTAGAAGAACTTAACAGAGAAGAACGGTCATACTAGACGTGGTGGGAATAATTAGACGTGAGGAATGTTCAGAAGAAAGATGGTCAGTTCAGTGTTCAGCATGACACACTGTACTCACAATGACAAATGAGCACGATGGGAAAGGACAGGTTGTTTCATCATGGGAGAGGAAATTGGTTTTCTTTTCATGATTTAATGAGGGAATGTGATCCCGGGAAGATGCATGTTGTATGCTCTCGCTAATGAAAAGAGCGCCACAAAGACGAAGTGATGAGGTTGAGAGCACAGAGGCTCATTATGAAATTAGTTATGAGGTGCAGGAGGACAACAGGAGCAAGAAAAGACAAGGAAAAAAGAGTACCTGACCAAAAGGGAGCTGAGCTCTGAGAGGAGAAGTTGAGGCCCTGCGGACTGAGGAAGGAGAAGTTGTAGGAGGCGCAGGTGGCTGCTGAGAGGAGAAGAGAAAGAGGAGGAAATGAAGCTGTTTGAGGAGTGTGCATGCAGAGCGCCAGACAAGCAGAGTTTAAAAAGTAGTGCATAGAAGTTGTCTGTCTCTTAAAGATGGGTTCTGTTTTTATGATCTTTAATCTTGATCATTTTGGGGTCATGATTTGACTGTGTGACAGTGTTGAGACAGATAAAAACCTAGGTCATGGTGGTGTCAGGCCAGGCAAGGTATTAGATATGTCTCTCACCAGATACATTTTCCACCTTCTCTTAGGGAATCCTGTGACATTCCTAGGTCAAATGAGATGTATAATCCCTTTCTTGTATTCTTGGTCTACCCCTGAATCTCCTACTCTCCCAAACCACCTGATCTGGCCCCTTTAGACACTGGGGAGCAGCTGTTCTATTTTGAGTTCCCTGCAGATTTCTGAGCTCCTAGCACTCTCTCTAAGGCTGCACAAAGCCACCACGTGGAAGAAGTGAAGGAGTTCCAGTTCTTGTGGTGTTACTAATTTTGGCTGCTTGTATCTGATTTTACTAGGGCTGCCCCCGACTAGGAATTTCTGTAGTAGACCAATAGGTGTCATTTAGGGCCATTAGTCCACTAGTCGCCTGCATGTTTACGATATTAATTTACCTTTCTGGTTGATAAACATTTGGTCGACTATTAGGGGGCAGCCCTAGATTTCGTCACTACCCAAAACTGATGACAATAGGCATGTGCCTTTGGCTCAGCCCTCTTTTCACCACAATGGTCCAGTACAACACCAGTATCCCTGCCTGCACTGCACTAATCTGCTTGTCCGTCCCATGCTCTACTTTATCCTTACTCAGGAACAACACCCCAAGAAGTGGAGCTCCTTCACTTGGGACAGTAACTTACTCTCAACCTAGATGGAGTGGCCCACTGTTTACTGGCAGAGAACCATAGCCTCATACTTGAAGGTAGTGACTCTCATCTCCACTGCTTCACACTCAAACCACTTCAGTGTGTGCTGGGGGTCACGGTCTGATGAAGCCAACAGAACCATGTTGTCTGCAAATAGCAAAGAGCAATTCTGGGGTCACCAAATCAGACACTCGTCCTGTCAAAGGACAACCCTGACAACCCATCGAAAACATCTTTGTCTTTGTATACCGACACAGCTTCTCCTTTGTACTGTAAAGACCGGATGGCTCGCAGCAATGACCCCAGTACCCCACAATCCTGCAGTACACTGCACAGGATTCCCCGGGGGACATGGTCATAAGCCTCGTCCAGGTCCACAAAACACATGGATGGGCAAATTCCCAACCCTAATAATCATTTAAGGAAAATAAAATAAAACCAACCAACTAAAACCCATTTTAATTTTAAATTCATTATTTTTAATGGTGACTATTTGTGCCACATCACCAACAGACAACATGAGGTCCATCTGATTTTTAGTATTAAACATGAATTAAAATGTGACACCATCTGCTCTTTGCAGCATATTTCGCCTGCTGCACAGCAGCACAACACTGTTCAGCCTCCCAGATGATGTTTATCTGGCCTCCATTACACAACTGTCAGGACATAATGGTGCAGAGAGCATAGCTTTTAACGGGAATGAGAGAAGTGGATGTGATCGACCACGGCTTTTTCCTTCCCCATCATAAATGCACCCTAATCCCATCACTGTTTCCATGCATACCTGCGGGGTACGGCACGTCTGCATCCACAAAAACACAAAAATATATGCTTGAAATCAAAGAGAGAAGCGAGAGCACATCAGCAGCAGCAGCAGCAGCAGCACAGACTCAGTTATCTCCATTCATTTCCAAATTTAGCCAATACAGGAAGGACACAATCCTGCCGTAGTGGCCAGTCCTTCCTACAGATCAAACAAAGGCAGACCAATGTAGGAGCCAGCAGCCGGTGCAAAGGCAGAGCCAGTATTGATAGAGTCTAATGGACAGATAGGGCTGCCATCTCAGACACCCAGTCCACAAGAGTCTGAGTTAGCTGACAAACTCTTCCTTTTTGTCTTTCTCTCTTCATCTATTCCACACTGCTTGTCTCTTTTTCTGCCCTGTTCCCCTCTGGGCTTCCTCCATATCTCTCTGTATGAGTCAGGAGAGTCACCGGCCTGGCAAGGAAGGGAGCGCCAATGAAGACAAACAGAGTGGGAGGTAGTTTGTCTCATTTATTCTACTCTTTCTTGCTATTTTTGCAGCCAAGATGGCGAGAGATTAAATGTGTAAGATGGACCTGCACATTATAACGTCTTGTCAGAGTCAAATTAGTTCTATCATAATCATTCATAGACGTAGGCAGATATAGTTGACACACACTATGTGCTATTCGCCAGACACGCTTCCATCCATTTATTACTGCTTATCCAGATCCAGCTCACAATTGCAGCGGGCTAACCAGGGAAGGGCTTTCGATTTTCTCCCTTCCAGTTTTTCCTGGGGTTAATCCAAGGTATTCCAAGGCCAGAGATATGATATGTAATTCCTCCAGCCTGTTCTGGGTCTGCCCAGTGGACTCCTCTCTAGTGGCCATGCCTTAAACACAGTGATATATCCAGGAGTCATCTGAAAGAGATGCCCATTGGACAAACTCAAATGACTTTTGAAGTAAAGAAGGAGCAATTTAGCTAAGAGTTTCTTTCAAACCTCTTAGCTCCTCCTTTATCTCTCTAGGAGAGAGTGCAAGCACGCTGCAAAGGAAACTCATTTTGTCCACTTCTATCCATTGTCTGAAGTAGCTTCTTCCCAATGTCACACCATAAGGGCTCAGAAATCAGAAACCCAGAAGAATTACTCAGAATAGGATGGCTCTGTTGGAGCCCAAGCCAGAAAGCTGGTGAGTACCAGGCATCTGATCTGGTACAGATTGAAGAGACAATATGGGGCTGCCACCTAATGGCTACGACTTCTAAGACTGGACAGAGGGGTCGGGTGTGTTGACATTTGGGCCAAAAACTTCTAAAAATATCTGAACACAGTGCATTCATGACTTGAATTGTGACTTATTTCTAACCCTACCAGACAGACAAGCCTTTCAGTCACTTTATCTTCACTGTCAGTCCACATATTAACTCTTATTCTGACACAGTTATTATTAACAGACTAAGGCCTCTATGTCCTCAACTCAATAACAGAATGGTAAATGTAAATGGTTCCCTATAGAGTTTTAGATCTCCTGTAGAGCGATTGAGCTGTCTTTCTACGAGTGGGTCCTGGTTTTTATTTATCGAACATGCACAGTCCTGCCAAGTCACACTATTCCACTGATGTAGCTGGGAGAGATTTTCCTTGAGGGCTTTTGACCAGAAAGGGAACTCTTGTTTGAGGTTGGGAAAAACAGTTGTGGTTTGGGTTAAAATGAATAGATTTCTGTTGAGAGAAACCCAACAAGTAAAATGTCTCCCATGTGCTCCACTGATCAGCAGGTGGCAGTAACATGCAAAGATGCCCAGCAATGCGACAGCAAAGACAGACAGGAAGAAGACTGGAAACAATACTGGATTTACAATACTTTTAAAAATCTGGTTTTCAAATGTCATATGAGGAAAGAAATTCATTCAACAAGTTAGTTCGACCTCAGGGGGACACACACAAAATGTGTTTTGGTGAGTAATACCAAATATGGGTATTGTTCATGAAACAAAATTGCATTAACAAGGTAACAACCAAACATGGAAAGCGGACTCTGTCTTGATACCTGATGATACTTTCATCTATGGTCAAGTTTTCTCTGCCAAAATGCTTACTGATTGTCATTTGTCTGTTGAATTTACCTAGTCCCTCATTATTTTGGAAAATTATATTAGTTGTAGTTGCAGATTGTGCTGCATGCAGCAGTGTGAGTATGCAGCAGTATTTATTACAGTCAGGCTGTGTTCTGGTATTGGCTGATATTTAAAAGTCATTCCATTGTTACTTTAGCCCCGTTTCCACCAAAAACTTTCAGTATGGTACCTTTGGAGCCAAAAGTAACCCTTTAGACATGGTACCTAGACCCTAGCGTTTCCGCCGCAAACTTCTTAAATGTGGGCGAAGTTGTTGTCTCTCACTACTCCATCCAGCACTCACTGTCGTCTGCACCTCGTTTATCGTGCACAGAACAGGGTTGCACGCTGACATTCTCACAACAAAATAAAACAGGCTGTGGTGAGAGTCTGTCTCCATCAGATATTTAAAAATACAAGTTTGTGCATTTAGTTTTTCTCAGGCAAGCTCAGGGGTTTAGCAGAGTGACCGTCCTCTATTGACCAATCAACGGACTGCAGTGTTCACAGCTCCACCTTTTAGTACCAGATCTGTGTGCTAGGTACCCCAACAGAGGGTGGACCAAACATGGGAACGGTACAAAACGGTTCCATTGGTACCATCCACAACTTTTCACAGTGGAAACAGACAAAAACCGAACCGAACTGAACTGTACTGTACTGCTCGGTGGAAACGGGGCTTTTGTGTCCACAGCTCAGGCTAACTGCACAAAATTAAAGTAAGGTGTTACAATAAAGGGACATTCAGAAGGCTTACCTGGTGAGCGTGTACTGGCCCGTGTTAGCGAGCGTTCTCTCGACTTGTAGGGGTATCGCAATGTGGTATCTAACAACTTGAAGCTTTCTTTCAGTGAATGGGCCTGATAGTACTCCACCAGCTCCTGTTATAAAACACAGTACAGAGGGGTTAGAAAATGTGACAAACTGATTTCTGTCTTTCACACTGACATCAAGACACTGTGGGTATTTCATGTTGCTAGTCAAACTATATGACTCACCAAAAGACTCTCAAACTTCTTGGCCTCAGTGATGTGAATCCAGCTGTCTTTTTCAATGACTTTGATGTGTTTTACTTCATCATTGAATCTGTCAAACCAAACATCACAGAGACAACATCAAAAGACATGGCTATGATTGTTTTTTATAAAATTTGCCTTAAAACTTTATCTACAAACATTTTCTGTTACAGTTTCATATTGCTATGCTTTCACACACATGTGCCTCTGGGGTTCAGCTCCTGTCAACATGAAATATTTTGTTGTACAGCTGAAGGACTAACAGACCAAAATAAATTAATTTTCACAAGCTGAGGGCGACTGTGGGACTTATTTAATTATTTGTCTAAAGGCTGGTCCCCACAGCCCCTCTGCACCTGTCTTAAAGACTTGAAGACAAATGTGCAAAAGCATTTCTCCAAGTACATCACTGTATGACAGCTTCACTAAGAGCTCACACATTTGTCTTCGTGATGCATTTTCTCAGAGGAAATACACACAGAAAAAGTGTATTAAAAAAGAAAAAAAAAACAATTACCAAGTGGTAATTAGCTGGAGCGAAAAGATGCTCGGGAAAAAGCTGACTGGGGCATCCCTTGAGAATTTCTATTTCCCATGAGATGCAGATAAAACCCTTCCTCTGAGATTTTCCCTCTCCTGTAAGATGTGAAATACTCACTTGATGCTGATGGCAAACCGCTCTGCCTCAGCTGTCCTCTCTCTGATAAGGTAGGTCCCACTGCTGTGGGATTTTAAAAGGTTATCGGCCTGCTGGCGCTCCATGTTCCCTGCAAACCTACAGAGGAGCAGAGAATAAATGTCATCACCACCATATACAAAGTTACATAATCAAATGACATGGTGAAGGCTTTACAAGTCATTGATGTCAAACAGCCATGTAGTAATTAATCTTTTGATGTGGTTATGTTTGGAGTTTGCTTTAAACTGAACTGGTGCATGAACTGAACAGTCTACTTGTATTAATATTAATACACTGCTAAAAAAAATTAAGGGAACACTTGATGGTCTTAAAACTTCAGGGATATCGATCTGTCCATTTTGGAAGCACAAGTGATTGTGAATCAGTTTCACCTGCAAATGAAAGAGTGCACTCCAGGTGCACTGGAGAGGCAAAAGCAAGACAACCTTCAAAAAGGAAATGGCTTTTGGTTGACTCCTTATCCGTCCTGGCTGATTCCTCTCTAGTTTTGTGTTATACACATGTCCCTGTCACTACTGGTAGCATGAGGTACCTGCAGCCCAATCAGGTTGCACAGGTAGTCCAGTTCCTCCAGGATGGTACATCCGTAAGGTTTGCTGTGTCTCCCAGCATAGTCTCAAGAGCATGGCGGAGATACCAGGAGACCGGTACCAGGAGACCGGTCGTTACATGAGGAGAGCTGGGCAGGGCCGTAGAAGGGCATCAACCCAGCAGCAGGACCGGTATCTGCTCCTTTGTGTGAGGAGAAACAGGAGGAGCACTGCCAGAGCCCTACAAAATGACCTCCAACAAGCTACTGGTGTGCATGTTTCTGACCCAACTGTCAGAAACAGACTCCATGAGGGTGGCATGAGGGCCTGGCGTCCTCTAGTGGAACCTGTATTCACAGGCCAGCACTGTGCAGCTCCATATACATTTACCAGAGAACACCAGAATTGACAGTTCTGCCACTGGTGCCCCGTTCTCTTCACAGATGAGAGCAGGTTCACACAGAGCACATGTGACAGGCGTGAAAGAGTCTGGAGACGCCATGATGAGCATTATGCTGCCTGTAACATCATTCAGCATGAGCTGTTTGGCAGTGGGTCAGTGATGGTCTGAGGAGGCATATCCTTGGAGGGTCGCACAGATCTCCATGTCATAGCCAACAGAACTCTGACTGCCATTAGGTACCAGGATGAAATCCTCAGAGCGATCGTCAGACCTTACGCTGGTGCAGCTGGCCCTGGGTTCCTCCTGGTGCAGTGGGCCCTGGGTTCTTCCTGGTACGGTGGGCCCTGGGTTCCTCCTTGTGCAGTGGGCTCTGGGTTCTTCCTGGTACAGTGGGCCCTGGGTTCCTCCTGGTGCAGTGGGCCCTGGGTTCCTCCTGGTGCGATGGGCCATGGGATCCTCCTGGTGCGGTGGGCCATGGGTTCCTCCTGGTGCACTCTGTGGCCAGAGTGTGTAGGCAGTTCCTGGATGACGAAGGCATTGATGCCATTGACTGGCCCTCTCATTCCCCTGACCTAAATATAACTGACAACCTAAGGGACCTTATGTATCAGTGCATCCGATGCTGCCAAGTGCCACCACAGACTGTCCAGGAGCTCACTGATGCCATGATCTAGGTCTGTGAGGAGATCCCCCAGGACACCATCCACCAACTCATCAGGAGCATGCCCAGATGTTGTCAGGAGTGCATACAGACATGTTGGGATCATTTTTATATTTTCACTTTGATTTGTAGTGTGACTTTGAATCCAGCCCTCAGTGGGTTGCTGATTTTGGTTTCCATTGACCGTTGTTACGTAATTTTGCTCTCAATACATTATATAATGAACATCAGTAAAGCTTTTCAACATGAATTATATTCATCAAGATCTGAGGTGTGATTTAAGTGTTCCCTTATTTTTTTTTGAGCAGTATGTATCTGTATTAATTAAAGGATAGTGACCTCAGGTTAATGGCAGTATATTGTGTACATGAGGATGAACTAATCATAAATCACCAATCTTCAGAAATTAAGGGTTTTACCAAGGATATCCATAGTAGTCTGATTCTCTCGAGGACTGCCGGCTTGATAACGACTGGAAGGGCTGTAATAAATAAAAACAACCACACATTAAATAACTTATAACCAGAAAAAAACAAGGAGCAGAAGTAGATTATTTATATGTTTGTCCCACACAGGTAGTTAAAGGAAGGCCCTCAGAAATCACACACTGAAGATTCTCTTCATTTGTATACCTATTGTACATGTATACGACTGACTTACCTTTGGGTCCAAACATGGTTTTACACATGAACTGGGAAAGAAGCCGCTCTTTTGTGTTTGTATCAGCTTTCCCTGCGAGAAAAAGACAATGAAAGTTTATTTGTATTACACTTCAAATACTGAGGCAGTGAAAAGGCAAACAAATGCATTAAAAGATTCTCATACAGAAGGTCTACTGACTCATACTCACTACACATCACATCCACTACACATCACATTATACAGTGATGCCAGGTGTTGCAGCCACAATGAAATGAGCACATCGGTCAGGTTCACCCATCAGCGTCAGACAGAAGTTGAAACGCCCTCACTGTCTGCTACCTGAAGCAATTGATTTTAGGCTCAACACACCCATTGATATAGCATGGAGAGATTAAACTGTCATGCTGTGGAGAGATAACCTCATAGGTGAGTTTAAATTAATGGCTTCAGAGAGTTGCCCAGAGACACTTTGGGAAAAGCTCGCCTGGTGAATTGTATAAGACTCAGTGATTCAGCAGGAGTGTCAAAAGTGCCCAGAGCCAGCAGTGTTACAGCTCCTGTCAGCCAGCCTAATTTACTGGGGAAGATCCTCCAGGTCTGCAGCTTCACTGATGTTCAACTTAGGATTTAAGGTAAAGATGTATTGAAGTCTTGCTCTAAGAAATCTGAAGGATGACTTGACTTGACTTGACTGTCTCAGTAGTGTCTGCTAATATTAGTATTTAGAGTGTGGACAGGTGTCAGAAGGCGGCACGACTTGAATAAAAATGAACTTCCATGGATAAGTAAGCTGGTGCCCAAGTGAGCACTGTTTGCTGAGAGGTTTTTTTTTTTTTTTTTCATTTCTACTCAATATCACAATCAGATGGAATCATCGTGCCCTCCTCCACCCTGTTCACCTCCAGTCACCTGATCCAGAGCTCATCAAAAGCCCACTCCTCACATCAAGATCCTCAGCTCCCTCTTCATCTCATCTCATCACCACCACCAGCGTCTAGACTCCATGGGGCAGATCCCTAATCTGCTTTGTCATTACCACCCTTCCGGAATAGATGACATCACATTGGGGTCTAATCGCCTAAGGCTTTTCACATTTCTCATACTTATATGCACATGTGAATAAATATTCTTTTCTCTCAGAACGAGTCTCTCCTGATTGAAATGTATTGTCTTAAAGGGCAGGTCCATTATTTTTACTTTTTTTTCCCCAAGCATCCCAGCAGTACTCCTTAGATATTCAAATTTAAACATTTACATTCTGGTTGAAAATATGTTATGTTTTATCACCGAGATACTATTTTCAGAGGTCGTCGAAAACGTCTCCCAGGTGACCAGATGTCGGTTTCTGCATGATGACGTTGCTACATATAAACCCCCTAACCCGCCTGTGGTCCCTATACCGCTTTACCACCCAAATTAGCGTGTGAATGCAGGTTTTTTAAACCTGCTTAAAATGGGCTACACACTACTTTCCTATCACCAGCAGACCAGGGCTCTCGTTTCTAAACATTGCGTACACACAAAATGAGGCCTGAAAGAGGCATACGCCACTTCCCACAGAAAAGTTGTGATCTATAATAACAGACTTGATGGGAGAAACATTGGCCCATGCTTACAAACATTTTGGACAAGGGAAACTGGTGATGTAAATGGTGATAAGGAAGCCAGATTGTAGAATATTTTTTGGCGTTGATGTTTGAGTGCTCCTCAGGCAGAGACAGATGGTATTTTGTGGTGGTACGTAGTGTGTTCATCCAGATGTTGTGTTTCTGTCAATGCTGATCGGAGCCAGAGGCAATAAATACTCTTTAAAGCACTTTAACTTAATAGTCATTGATTCATTTCAAATCAATGCCAAACATGAGTTGACCAGAAAGTTCATTAGTCAGCAAGATTTCATTGGCCGCTTAGTTGCAGGAAAAACAAAAACATACTTGATACTCTATTAGGAGCTGCGCCTTGTCAATATAAATCAAAACCTATATGACTGGACCATGTGGGAATTTAATTTGAAAGGACAGACACAGGAAGTGTCCACGCTCAGCAGTCAGACAGGAGTCAGGTTAATTTCCAGGGCTGGTACCTGTGGTTATTCCACCATGGCGCCATGATGGGCAGGAAATCCAAAGTGTGGGATCATTTAATAATTAAACTAATATCGTAAACATGCAGGCGACCAGTCGACTAATGGCCCTAAATGACAACTATTGGTTGACTAGGAAAACTCTTAGTCTGGGGCAGCCCTGGTTTCAGATAGATGTAAGTGACTGCTGTACCTCCCACCATGAGGTGTCAGGGTCACCCTTCAGCAGCTCAATAAAATCCCCAGTTTGAAAACAGAGCGGTGTCTTCCCTGGAGGTGCCGGTGTGCCATGGTAGTTCCTCACTGCCACCATCTTGGGACCTGGAGACAGTTAAATGTTTACAGTGAGTATCAATACTGTGGAGGCGAGTGGGGCAACTGGCTGTCTACATGGGATCAAAGAGCTTTGCGTGCTGCTCACTGTGGTTTGCACTTCCCTCTTAGGTTTCACATAGTGATTGAGGCTGATAAAAGCAGGCCTGTTTTTGCATAGACATCTGAGTGATGCAGTGATCTAAGATACACACAATACAACCACAACATCCTGGGTTCAGATCAGGTTCAGCATCTCGGCTGCATGGTGCCCCTTCCTCTGTCCACTTTGAAGTATCTTATGAGGCAAACATGCCAGAAATTACAAAGGAATTCAACTATATCTCATCCCCTCTGCACTGACCACTGTGTACTGATTATTTCAAGATACTGTAGAACTATGATCCCTCTTATCTCTAAGGTCTTCGGGTTTTTGAATTTCAAGTAACATCCAAAGTTTATATACATACATATCTGTGCAATGCCACCCACTCATGGTTTACAATGCTGTTGTGGTTCATGTGTAGCTGATCTGTCCACTAGATGGCAGAAGAGAGCTGTGCTGCTCCATAACAGCTGTGTCCATAACAAACTTGTAACGTGACAGCTGACAGAATACCCAGCTTCACATAATAGTGTTCTCTATCGTGTTTAGGTGACAGGAAGTGATCTTACCTGATGATATTCCAGGCTCCTATGGAAGAGAAACAGATACTTGATTATTGATACTATCACAAACAAAAGTCTTGTATGATTTAATGATAAAACATCTGTGTGAGTGCAAATGGTGATCAGAGGATGATAATATTGCTACAGTATGCTGACGAACAGAGGATCTACTCACCAAGTCATGAGGATCTGAAACAAGACAAAAGGAAACAGTGACAGTTGGGGAGGGTTGACAGTGATCTGGTAACCATTATTGATCACACATGAGCTTAACTAACCATTAAATTATAACGATTCTCACATGTGTCAGGGCGCTATGACAAACAAAAAAGCGACTGTGCTTGTTTGACTGTATTTTAGCTTCATGCTGAGTAAAGTGTTGCCCTGTAGAGCTGACATGGGTAAAGCAGAAGGAGCCAACGTCTACAGTAATACACATGCACAAATACTTTCCCCAGTGCCTGGCACCAGCTTTAAGAAATCAGATGTTCAGCTTTTTTTGGAAGTAATGTTACATTTTGTTTTGATGGTTTTTAGCTTGAGTTTCTGCTGGTGAATATTAACAATGCCACACACATCACAGTTAGCCATAGCTGTAAATGCCCCATGCTAAGCAGGCTATTAGGTAGCCTTAGAGTTAGCTACCTGCTCTCATCCAATTCTCACTCCTGACTCCAAAAATCGAACACAGTGATGGCCTAAATGCCAAATTTGAGGCTTCAAAACAGAAATCCACGAAAAAGTGACGTCACGGAGGCTATGTCCATTACTTTATACAACAGACTGATGTTTATATATTGTAGCTAAATGCTCACACTTGCAGCCTCAGCACAGTGACAATATATACATTTTATTTTAATTTTTATATCTTATGTACTAGTGTTAAACATGGTAGTAAAATGCACATTTCACTTCTTTTTTATTTTATTGCTTTATAATTACACACTTTTATTTCACACTCTTACTCTCACTTCTTATAAATCTCTATTCTTTACATCAGAGCAACTCTAACAAATCAAAATTTCCCCTCAGGGATCAATTAAGTATTTCTAAGTCTGATTCTGATTCTATGGTTACAAAGCTGAGGCTTTAAAAATGAAGGTCAGGTAATTCCTCCTGACTCCCAAGTTTCCTCTTTGTTACCAAACCCAGCAACACAGTCCCACCAGCGACACAGTCCCACCCTCCCACAGGACCTCCAGAGGACCCATCCCCCATTTTCCTGCTGGATAAAGTAGCCTAGTAGCAGGACACAGTCAAGTGACAGTGGGGTTACACTTGTGACAGAATGAAGTTTCACAAATCATTATTAATTTGGTAAAAACATCAACAAAAATAATCACCTTCACAACATGCTGTCATAACAATCAATGATGTCTGTCACATAAGGTTGATCAATGATTTAATCCAAACGTTGCTCTGCCCTGATATCGACCCTATTAAAGTAAAGCTGGAATATTAGAAGAGACACCTACTGATTTTACAGATGGTGATGACTTCCAGACACTCTTTGTGTGCTCCTGTTCCACAGCGAGAGCAGAAATAGCCCTGATAGAAGATGCCCCTAGAGGACACACACACACACACACACACACACACACACACACACACACACCAGTAATGCAAACAGGAAATGTCTGAGACACAAATTAACTTCTTGTAAGTACAACACACAAGGGGAGCTGCTGCTCGCTGCTATAAGCCTGTGAACGCGGTCACACATGCGCCATCGTTTCCACTCTGTGATCCTTTAAGAATCACAAAATCGACTCGCTCCATTTAAGAGCAGCACTGTATCTGTTAGGGATACTGTAACACTGCATGCATTGCACACTGCCATGCTGAATAGTAAGTGCCATAAATCACGTCGGGATCCGCTGGGGCTGCAGCAGTAATTAGCATCTAGCAGGGAGTGAGAACGCCGGTCCCTGCTTCCACTGGCTCTGTGAATTTAGGTCAGCCAAGCCATGAAATTTGTGGGTCAATACGCAGAGCGGAGTTTAGACGGCTGACTGTAATAGAGGTCAAAGTGGTGATTCAGTGACATGGGTTGTCCCCACTGCAGTTGAGCAGCACTCTCACATGGGAGGAGGTGTGCTCAGGGACGCAGTGGGTGTAGCAGGGAAGGGGAATGTTTAAAAATATCACCCGTCAGCCTCAGTCACACTTATACTTTTCCAAAGATTGCTTTTACACTAATGAGCAGTTACATTAGCCAACAACATATTCCCTCTATGATTTGAGTCGGTTTGTTTGTTTGTTACCCACCAAATGTGGTTGGATTTCCCTTCAGTTTAACGCTTCAGTTCTTTACTACTTTGTTCTTTGCTCTTGAGACATGTTTTGAGTGACACTACTTTTATTAGTGTTACATGTAATACTACATTCATTAATAGTGTGTAGCATTACATTAATGTTGCATAACAGCAGTGGTGGGTTTAAGTTTCCATCACCGAGACCAGACCTCCCCAGTGGGACCTTCCTGGCTTAATATCCTTCATTCATTCTGCGTTATCGCTTATCCTGTTAGGGGTCGCAGGAGGGCTGGAGCCTATTCCAGCTGACACTGGGTGAGAGGCAGGGTTCACCCTGGACAGGTCACCAGACTATCACAGGGCTGACACATAGAGACAGACAACCATTCACACTCACATTCACACCTACGGACAATTTAGAGTCACCAATTAACCTGCATGTGTTTGGACTGTGGGAGGAAGCTGGAGTACCTGGAGAAAACCCACGCTGACTTTGGGAGAGCATGCACCCCCACCCCAGGTTTGAACCTGCTTCATTATACTTTCACTCCACCACAACTCACAGGGAAACACAGCATACAAGATCCCTCTGTCCTCCCCAAAAGAACTCCATCAACTGTGGAAGACTCCCTCTTCCAGGATGGACAGATGTGCAATTAATGTTGTGTGTTCAGAACAGATCAACATGATAAAATTACAGTAATCCATATGACAAAATGATATATAAAGAGAGGGAGATGCAGAGGGAGATGCAGGGCATGGGTTTTCTCCAGGTACTCCGGCTTCCTCCCACAGTCCAAAGACATGCAGGTCAATTGGTGACTCTAAATTGTGAGTGTGAATGGTTGTCTGTCTCTATGTGTCAGCCCTGTGATAGTCTGGTGACCTGTCCAGGGTGTACCCTGCCTCTCACCCAGCGTCAGCTGGGATAGGCTGCAGCCCCCCCGCGACCCCTAATAGGATAAGCAGACAGTATATTTATGTCAGCAGTAGTGGTCAGCATTAGGCAGGAGTATAACAGCAGCGTAACCACGATCCAGGTGTAGCGTGATTCAAGGACACCTGTGACATAGTGGAGCACAAACGCTCTGTATTTTCCATTTATGTAACACCTGTAGTTAATACAAACTTTGCAGAGTTCTTGTAAAGGATTATTTTTACACTGTGGTATTAGAACTCTTCGGCTCATTTGCCTGACTGCTTCTTTCACCACTGCATAAATCACACCTAAACAGTATCTTTGTATAAATGTTACATAACGTGTGTCAGAGTGGATAAAATATCTTTCCACACAATGGGTCCGTATAAAAGTGCCTGCCCGTATTGTAGAGATAACAGTGAATAAGATATCTCTGTAACTGCTGAATATTGTTGGATAGTCCTTGGAAAGTCTGGAACAAAATGCATTCATTATTCATCACAGCATATGAATGTGCTGTTATGCACATCAGCGCCGGAGTTATCAGGGCTTTTACCTCAGGAGCATCTTGCAGGCTCGACAGTTGGTGTCCTTATCAAATGTGTGCATTTGGAAGTTATGCTGATTGGCTGTGGCTCTCTCTGGCTTGATGTTGGACCTGGAAGTAAAGAGTGATAATGAATGAGAGGAGCCAATTGGACGAGACAGTTTGGTTTTGTGAGGAAGAAGTTGTTTGATTCACTGTATTTGCCAAAAACAGACGTTCCCATCTGGTTATTTAATCTTAAGACGGTTTCTCGAGTGAATTTCCAGGAAAACTACCATGTCGTCATACTCACATGGCCATTTCAAACTGCTCCATCCACTTCCTCTTTGTCTCCTCAGTTTTACAAAAGAACTGGAAGCCCTGCTTGCCTTGCAGGTGGATCAGGTAGAAGCCATACGACCACTGGAGAGAAAAAGTGAATGAGGAACGGATGGCAGAAAGATGCAACGATGGCAATGACAGAGACAAGCAAAGAAGCTCATGATTCCTGTGTTTTCACACAAACATGTACAAAAGCATACTGTTAATATGATCACTTTTAATCGAGCACTAGAAGATGCTCCACATGCTTTAGCAATGCATCAGAGAGCCCACGGCTGCACGTGCAATCACGGCATGACACCCAAAAAACACCACTGCCAAAAATAGGCCACTATGAGAAGATGAGTTAAATAAAGGGGTCACTTGAGCTTACCATTTTTCCACTTGACTGGTAAGCATGCAAAAAGAAAGACACCAGAGAAAGACCCAGTTACACATGCAAACATGGAGAGACACATGCAGATTCAAATCAAATCCAGAAACAAAAAAAAAAAAAGCCATGTTAGATTTGCAGTGCACTGCAGTACGATTTCATGAATCCTAAATGACCTTCATTGCATTTACATGGTTTTTCAAGCATGGCCGAGCATAATGCATATCTGACACTTCAATGCATTACTCATGAATTCCATATCTGCAATTACTATCAACAAGGTCCTTCGGCTCAAGGGCGACAATTCTAATGATTACACAGGATGTTTCATCACCGGCACTAGAGCAAGGCTGCCTTCACGAACTGTTCTGCTGTGAGCCTTTCTCAAACTCAATGGACGGAGCTTACCTTTTTCATGTCTCTGTTGTTCATGGGGTCGTCGGACATTTTGTACGACTGCAGTTCTATAATCTCTTTGAGCTCATAGCTATAGCCTTTCCTCTTGCAGACAATCACCACTTTATCAAACAGGAATATATACCTGAAGACATACACACATGCATTGTGAGAACATGTCACTGTTGGCATTGGGTTACTTTATTTCTAATATGCTTTGGGTAGTTTAGTTGGAAGGTTCGGACTCACCGGTCCTGTTTCGTTCGGTTGACGATGGAGCACACCTTCAGCTCTCCGTCTATCTTTGGCCTACCGTACTCCTCCAGTTTCACCTGCTGCTTAGGTCACAAGAACACACAGGATGTCAATCCACTGCATACTATGACTTCTAAATTTAATGGGAAGCCATAAATAATTTATCCACACTTGAATTTCAGAGTCCAAATAGATATATAATGGATGATACAGCTTGGAAACTATTCAGCTCCTCTTCAGTGACTCTCTTCTCCTAATCCAAATTTCTAGTTGTTTACTGCATCTATGGCACGTGTACAAGCCCAAAATGAGCCCAGTGACTATTTGCATCTCCAAGGGAAGAGAAAGGAGGTGACAGGCAAAGAAAAAAAAAATGAGACAGTGCAGTTTGAAATATTATGGGAAACGAACATTAGTCTGGATCGACATAACTTCTCTTGTTCGTGCTCTGCAAGACTAAATGATTTATTGGGGACATTATAATAGTGGAGGATCATGACAGGCGGAGGCACGATGATGCCAGCGTACTTAGCAGAGAAAAGAAATTGTGGACATTTTCGAGAATGGGTTGCTGCTCTGTGATGCTCAGTGACTAATCACACTGACAAACTTTGAATTCCAGGATGGTGATAACATTAGTGCCGGTGTATTACTTTTGATACATAAAAAATGACTTATACAAGTATGTCAGATGTGGCATTATAAATGACAGTAGGAGCCGGAACATTGGATTATAAATGATACATAAGGTTAACAAAACATTTATTGTTTTATTTTATTTACTGAAAAGTAAGTGATGGAGTTAAACTTCACTGCTGGCAGGCGCCCATGCCTAAGATGATCCCTAATCCAAAAAGAGAAAGTTAGAAGCACCTTAAAATGTGGTTTCAAATTTTATCTTTTACTGTAACCCTAAAGGGTAACACTATACTTGAAGGTATCTACATAAGAGTGACATGACACTGTCATAATTATGACATGACACGGTCATGAACCTGTCATGAACATTATGTACATGTCATAAACGTTTATGACTCCTGTCATTAAGTGTCATTTGGTTTTTGTAATGACAAGTTGACATTGTTTGAGTTGTCTTGATTATGACAACTTGACATTAATCAAAGTGACATTACCAGAAGTTGTCTTTGTCATAACAAGTTGACATTGTTTGGGTTGTCTTAAGTATGACAAGTTGACATTAATCAAAATGACATTACCAGAAGTTGTCTTTGTCATGACAAGTTGACATTGTTTGGGTTGTCTTGATTGTGACAACTTGACATTAATCAAAGTGACATTACCAGAAGTTGTCTTTGTTATGTCAAGTTGACATTAACAAGAAATGCACCTCTTTTTGTGTTAATAACAAGTTGACATAATGATTGATACAAAGACATCTTCTGGTAATGTCACTTTGATTAATGTCAAGTTGTCATAATCAACACAACCCAAACAATGTCAACTTGTCATTAAAAAAACCACATGACACTTAATGACAGCAGTCATAAACATTTATGAAATGCACATAATGCTTATGACTAGTTCATGACAATGTCATGTAATAGTTATGACAGTGTCATTTCACCCTTATGTAGATACCTTCAAGTAAAATGTTACCCATTAGGGTATTGGGTTGACATTTTAGGGAAAGATTAGGAAGCAATACCTCTCATACTCTCATATCTGTCTGTTAAATATGACGCCACAGCCAGCAGTTGCTTAGCTGAGCATTAAAGATGGAATGGAAGCAGGTGAAGGTGATGACGGGCCCTCTGGGATGTTACTGCACCTGGCCAAAAAGTAGTCAGGCATATGATAACTCATTACACCGCAACTTGTTTTTGAACAGGTTAAACGAACAAGATATAACATGCTAATTGGTTAATTTAAAGGTCCTAGTTTTAAACAAGCAAGATAAAATGTGTTAATTAGTTAGTGTTAATGTAGAGGTGACAGTTGGCGGATTTTTCTACCTCTCAACACAGCGAATCTCAAACTTTTTTCAATTACGTACCTAAATTTAAATATTTTTGTCAAACAGGTACCACCTGTCTCATGTAAAGTCTACTACCCATAGGTGTACTCCATCACTCTATTTGAGGAACTGGGTGCATTTTGAATGGCATACTTTTACTTGGAATGCACACAATTGGGACATACTACTGAACTTTGACCCTCTTACACATATATCTGTTACCATGGAGATAAAACAAAACATCATTCACAGAACTCACCAGACACAGAGGTCAACCCGGGAGCTCTGCTCTGATGCAGTAAGTAATAACTGCATACACTGTAGATTCTAACATATTATATTCACGATGGTAAAATTACACAGGTTAGACATTTCTCTGTCATCGTTATTTAGTATCTATTAAACAGTTAATATTCCTTTTATTCTATTCGACTGGTTTCAGTCACTTGAATGTGTTATCATTCGTCATTGCGACTACTGACAGCTGTCAATCAGCTGCCAAACAGCTGTGTCAATAAGCAGTCAAGCTGTCTTCTGTTTGCGACTCAGTCGATGTGACGCATCGTCCACTGTGCAGAGGATTGTGGGTCAGAAGAGCCAGAAAACATGCTGGCTTGCATACTGCAAAATCGGACTGGAAGTAGTAGAACATCCTGGTATTTTTGGCACACTGCATTTGACACACTATGTATTGGGACATACTAAATCTTTTCCTGGCATACTATATAGTATGGTAGTATGGGTACTGGAATGCAAAAACAGACCAGTCTTTGTTCTAACCTAACCAGGTGGTGGCTGTAGTTTTTTATCTAGCGTATAGTATACTGCAAGAGAGGGGTGCCCAGTAGCCCCACAGGTATAGCAGGCGTCCCATGTACAAAGGTTGTCTAGGAACTACACGGTGCCAGACCCCCCCGGCCTCTTTGACGGCCACGTCTGGCCCATGTATTTGAAACACAAGAACATCATTCATCCCTTGCCACAGCAGCCACAGGCTTGATTCCAACCTGCGGCCCTTAGCTGCATGTCTTCCCCTCTGTCCCTCCCCCTTTCACACTGTCCTGTTGAAAAAAGGCATAAAAGCCCAAAGAGAAGCCCAGGAGTTCTGCACCTGAGTTTCTTGTGAAGTATGAAATGTCCTGGCCAGAAAGAACTTTGTTCTTGTTCTTGCCACCTCGAGAAAAAGAACAAATTTCTCAGTCTCTTAAACAGACGCCGATGTCGTCAGCATGCTGGCTGACTCTGTCGTCTGTGGATGTTCCCATAGGAAAGTTGTAATAGAACTAGTGCTGGCTCCCAGCAGCTGTGATGTGATTGGATCCAAATCCGTGTACTTTTGTACTTCCTCGACCAACTGCTGATTAGCTCTGCCTTACACCCGCCTGCACCAGAATTGCTGTTCCCCAAATTGTTGTATGTAGTACAACAGAAAAGGAAGTGTTCAATGCATCGCAAGAAGAAATTAAAATGGATATGATTTCATTTGATTCAGCTATATTGCAGAGCTGCAACGTCTCTGTTACATGTAACACACGTGCCGTACCTATGGCAACGAAAAAAACGAAAGACGAATGTCCCCAGACTCCCCTTCCGAAGTAAGGGAGGCTGGTCACGCAGGACTGCTGTTCTTCTTTAGTCTCATCTCATCTCAGCTAATTTGCTTAATCAGGACTCTGTGGGTGTGGTTTGTTTAGATATGATTGACAGTGGGTCTGCACGGCAACATGAGCAACTGTTATTGGAGTCTGATTCTTCTATTGTTAAAATAGTACATGGGAATACCTGACTTTACCTTTTACTAACCCCTCCCACATCAAACCAGGTAAAACAGCATAGATACAATTATAAATGCAGATAAATTTTGATTAACAAAACACTTTTTCAAGATCCTTACATGGATCAATCAAGAAAATATCTCCTCTGCATGGAAAAAGCAGTGACAGAGGACTTCACAGTACTTACAAGATTTTCTATTGAACTTTGGAATTCACTGATTTTCTTCAGCGTCTCATTGTCCCTCTTGACTTCATTGATGTACATGGCCAGGTCCTGCGAGAGCGAGGCAAACATTATTTCACCCTTTTAACATAAAATCTTTCTGACATCTGTCATATCACTGTAGACGTACAGTCCTTTGAGCCACAGTAGCTGTAAGAAACAATTTATACGGCTTTGGCTCGGAGCACTGCAGAGTTATTATGTAATATTTCTTAAAGCACACAGACCTGCATAGCCTCCAGAGCCTCCTTGAGTTGTTGTCTCTCTGGTCGGTCCGCTGAGTGACTCAAAAGTTCCTGTGGAGGAAAATTAGTATTGTTATTCTGTAAAAAAAAAAAACTAATAAAAGGAAAAAAAAAACAACTCTAGACAAACAAAAAACTTTACTGAAACAAATGATGCAAACAGTGAATCCTACAGTAATGAGAGGGATTCGCTGTGAGGGATGTATAGCTGCTCTTTACTGTGATTACAGATGTGACACTGATGTGGCTGAGAATAAACTGCATCCGAGCACCATCGACAGCAGCGTACATAAAAATAAAAGAAAGATGGAGAGATGGCGAACTAGCCTCCAGGTCTGACTGTTCCTTATGGTAACAAGGTAACAGTACATATGTTGTCCGCTACAAATCATGTTGTCCTCCTCGTACAGTAGCCAATCAATAACAAATATGTTACATCATTTTGATTTTTGACTGTCTGCCTCCTTCACTGGTTTATTGGGGTGGTTTATAGAATGCTGTAGAGCCACGGTGACATACAGGGTGCTCAGTGAGAAAAGAAATCTTATAAAATCTTTTATAGTTTTACAAAAACAAATTAAGTTGTGCCAGCTGTCTAACCAGTTGGCACATCCAATCAGCAGCGTCCTTAAAGCTATATGTGACACAAAAATAAACAAACTACTGTACTTTGTAAAAAGAAAAATCTTGATTTGTCTTACATGTTGTACAAGACTGATAAACAATATAAACAAAGTTATAAGCTAACAGAAGGAGCCAACTTTCATGACGCATATTCAGTACTAAGAATGGTGGATATATATATCCTCCTGAGACCCCAACTTTTGGCACATTTTTAAATTCTCCTAGCTATTTGGGATCAGCAGGGCCTGACAAGTATAAAAAACGAAACATTTTCATCAATAATTAAGTCCCTATATTCTCAAATGTGACGATAATAAAGTCTTAATCAGAGTGTGGATACCCAACCTGAGCCTGACGGGACTCATCGGAACTCAATGGGTCGGGCCGCGTTTGGATAACAAATCAGAAATTTTGCTCTGGTTCAGCTCCCTTGACATGCTGCTGTGTTGTGCTATGGCCTATTCAAGTGCTGGAATTTGTTATTTATGTGACAACGCCTGGACACAACACAAGCTCCACTCCATTTGAGTGTGTGTACAGTACTGTGCTGTGCTGCTGTGTGTGCGGCATGTTTGACTGTGCGTAACAGCAGCCTTTTGACGGTCATTTACACACTATCCATGTGTGATCATGGTAATCAGACAAGCTGTAACCATGATGACAATGAATATGTCAGGTAATAAACAGCGAGGGGCTCAGGACGGGTTCTGACTTAAAAATCAGAAAGTATGTCTGGGTTGGGCCGGGCTCGGGTTATAACTGTCTCGGGTCGGGTATGGTCAGGAAAATGCAGGCCAAGCCGCGCTTTCGTCTCAACGAGACAATAATAAAGTCCCAATGTCCTCAAATGAGCTTATGATAAATTCCTTATGTCTTCAAACGAGTACTTTCTAATTGTCTTATCTTGTTACCATTGCTACAATTGGTGGAATTTGTTGCCATATCAAACTATAAATGTTACTGATCATAAATAAACAAGTTCCAACCATCAAACCTGATCAGGTTTTGGGGCTAGTCTGCAGATTGACTTGGCAGGGCTGGCAGCCATCTTGTTTTTACATGGATTAGTGTATTGTGCTCTTTCTACCACTAGATGGCACAAAAAGTGTCCACTAACGAGGACAGCAGGTCTGAGTTAAGCAGAATGAAGTATAAGGTCAAGTAAGCCAAAATGTGATGTTCTCATTTGAGGGCACAGGATCTCAGGAGGATATAATATATCTGACTACAGAGGACATCTTGGCAGAGCTGTGCATGAATGCGTCACATTTTTAACTTTTTAACTAAATCTAAAGACAAGTGCTGCACTTTGTTGTTTGGCTCATAAGTTTAGGTTTATGACAACAGAATGCAGCGTCCATAATTTAACTGGCTTTTTTTTCACTAATTTTCTTTACTGTGATGTTTCCCCATTTTTACCAGTTTGGAATATACTATAGGTCTATGTATTAAAAGGCAGATTTGCCTTGTCAAAGCAGATAAAGGACAGATGTGCTTTCCCTTCTATGACAAATCTAAATGTCTGCCTTGGATTAGCTCTAGTCTCCTGCACTCTAGTTCTCCTCACTGCTCACTCTTTCACCTGCTAGCAGTTAGCGTCACCAGAGGGTGTAACACTTTGGATACCATCCCCCAGTTCCACGCCCCAATGTGCAGCCAACCTAAATAAGCGTCAGACATTAGTGCAGCGACAAGGACGTTATCCCTCACTGGCGTCCCAGCAGCAGCACCAGCAGCACAACCAAGGGGAAAGTCCAGCTACTGGCCCACATTTTACCTTAATTACCTGCTGAATGAGCGGATCTTTTTAATACCATGCTCTGTTACTTTTGCACAAGCGGGACCAGCCTGTGACCACATGCTGCTGTACAGCCCATAAACCCAGCTTCAGATAAAATATGAGATCACATGGGTTCATAAAAACGCTGCAAATTCATCAAATATACAAACCCTGCTTGAGCAGAATTACTTCTGAGATTACTGTGCTGAATTCAATTACTCAGAGTGCAGCTATGGTACATAAAAGATGAAGAGAGGTGAGCGTTGGCACCATGATCAGATAGAGAAATGCCACTGTGGTGATATCTGTACACCATCAACTGAAGATGTGCCCTTAGGCATGAATGGACACACAAAAACAGGACCTGTCAGTCTGACATGCCCCCAAGGCCACAGCATACAGCGGTGTTTACTGCAAAACTGTTGGAGGCAGTGAAATGGGGTGCGTTTAATCGGATTAGTTTGCGGTTGATTTGACCTCAGTGCCTTGCTGGGGCTCCTGCAGGGGTTCCATTCAAACTGATAGAGAAGTCGCAGCGGTCTCTGTGTAGCGCCACAATCACCTGAAGCAAACACTCGCCTCCACCCAAGTCCATTACGCACTGCATCATAAACTCATACGCTCATCCATAATTGAGATACAAAGTCAATTAATCATGGGGAATATTACAGTGGCCAGCTTGTTTTACACGCCAGGAGGAGAGCTCCAGGGAGAAATATTGGCCGGGATGTGAGTGGTCAGACATTCATGTGCTTAAATACATTTGCATATTCAGGCACAGGGCATCAGTGCAGGGTTGAGTTAATGATTTTGGCTCCCACTAACTTATTTTTCATAACTAAAATCCAGAGGAATTATGTTTATTATGAAATGAGCTTCAAGAAATGAGAAGCAGAAATCCTACAAATGCTTTGCATTTTAATTGGACACATTACTCAAATGATTAATTAGTCAATAAAATTGTTGTGCAATGATAGTGCACAAACAGTGGCCTACTTGCAAACTAAATTAACTAAAAACATTTTAAAAATCTTCTAAAATGAGACATACACCAAATGATTGAATAACCAAATGAAATTAAATAATTCATACGGAAGGAAATTATTTAAAAAGGATTTTTTTTTCAACCTTAAACATGACATAAGACTCATTATTGATCAGTCTTAACACCAGGGTTCTTACACCGTTTCCAAATAAAGATTTTCAAGGGGCATTTTCAAGCTTTTCAGCATTTTCAAGCAGTCAGAATTACAACTGAAATGAGTCATCATCTCTGTGACGAAATCTCAACACACAATGAGTCTCACAATGCTGCTATTTACAGCAGGCCTGCTATTCAAGGCCTGTTTGTGTCTAGATCTAACAAATAACAATGGATAATAAATCTCCTTATGTTACATTTCCTGAATGGACACAGAAGGAAGAATCTGCGTTATTGGAGACCATATATTTTCAGCACTTCGGAGCTATATGGAGGCAGTTTCTATGGATGTTTTGAGGCTTCTTCAGCTACATTGTGCTTAACTATTGTAAATCAAAGCTGACTACATGCAGAAACTAACTCCAAACTTTTCAGAGCCACCTTTCCAGCCTGAAGGGAGGTGAGTGCTTGATATTTAAAAGATGGAAAGTAAAGTGTGAGATAGCAATTTTCATATCTGCTTCAGTCAGTCGGTGATATATGCTCAGCTGAGGGTCTGACAGACCGATAGATAAAAATGAAGTGAAACACAGCACAGATCTAAGTGTGCTGGAGTCTCTTCTATTAGCTTGGACTCATTGACGATTTCAGCACCTTAGCAAAGATTAAGTCTTCCTGCATCCTTCTGCTTCAGTCATCTTTCAGACATGTCCAGCATGGACAGAAGAGCAAGCAATCTCTGCATCAGTGTGGGGGAGACTAAGGAGATGATTCTGAACTCTTCCTCCCCTCTTCATCAGAAGAGCAGCTGTGGAAATGGTGTCCAACTTCAAATACCTGAGCCTGCACATCTCCAACAACCTACACCTGTATTTTTTGAGGAGGCTGAAGCAGGCCGGCCTCAGCCCTGTCCTGACCTCCTTTTACCAGAGTGTGGTGGAGAGCTCACTGACATCCTCCATCACTGTTCGGTATTGGAACTGCTCTGCGGCTAAGGAAGGCGCTGCAACAAGTGGTTAAATCTGCTGAAAAGATAACCAGCAGCAGCCTCTTTTCCTTGGAGGACATTTATGTGAGCAGGTGCATAAGCACTCCACCCACTCGGCACACAAACTGTTCACCCCATCCCCTCGAGCAGAAGGCTGCACAGCCTCAAAGCACGAACAACGAGGCTGAGGTGTAGCTTCCTCCCAGAGGTTGTGAGGCTTATGAACACTCTGGCTTAAAGTCTGACCTCTGCACTTTGTACAGCTGCAACTGCATGATGCTATTGATGCACTATTACTCACTTTTTTTAACTGTGTTGAATTTATTACAGGCTTTTAGGTTATTTAATTATCCATCATAGGTCTCTGCTGGACCTGGGTAACCAATTTCGTTCCCTCATGTTTTCTAACATGTTTGAATGACAATACTGAGCCTTGAAGCTTGAACATCTAACCACAGATATTCAAAGAGCTGTTGAGACGGACTTTCGCAGTCATCATGAGACGCCTCCTACCTTCAGTAGTAGGTGATACTTCAGCACCCTCTGCATGGGAACCACCAGAAGATCCTGCAGCTTGAACTTCCCTTCCTGCACCTTCATAGTACATTCCTGAGGAGCAACAACACAAGCAGCGGCGCGGTTATTATTACACATTGCGTAATGCCGCATTGCACATTTCCTACTAACAAGCATTCATTCATTGTTTAATAATTCATTGGGTCTTGTTGCATTGCTTCCACACATTCACGGGGCATTCCATTAGCAACAACGAGGCCAGTTAAGTCTTCGGGGGGAAACAAAAGCTCCGGTCGCGCCAGCCATTTGTGACGCAATTACCCTGCATGCTGACTCGGAAATTCCTCTGATTAATGAATACATTTCTATAAACTCTGCACTGGCCTAAAAGAAACTGTCTTTGTTGGTAGTATCCTATAAGGCTCTCTCACAGTGGGCATGTGTAGGCGTTTCTTTATTCAGTTTCTATAACTGTGCAGTAACAGGGACGGCTTATCACTCTCTGCAAACAAGGTTTTTGTGTAAGAAGACAGTAAGAAGCTGTTTCACCTCATTACAAAGCTCTTCTATTTTGAGAGAGCGTATTCAGTGTCGACTTATCGGGCTGTAATCGCCTCATTTTTTTTGTCAAAAGCTCCACGAGCCAGTTCTCTGGACATGCTAACTGCTGATGAGCTGCTGTTACAGGAGCGTCTTACTCTGCTTGTACAATCAGTTTAGATTCTTACAAAGGATCCAGGAGTAGAGGAGATCGGAGAATAATAAAAGTAGAAGAAAAGGACCCAGAATCAAGTTATAAATGTAATAAAACTCTTTCCTTGGGTAAAAACTCAAGTAGATTTAAGAAGACCTTTTAAAGGCCGTCACTATAAATCCACTGCTCTGAACACCACACACCGCCCGCAGTATATAAACAGGGTGATGTTGAATCATGTTCAGTGAAACAGAATATTATGGATTAAACAGCTCTGAGGGCATGTTTGCAAATGACATTACTTGCCTTTATCATTTCATCTCAATTTGTGCGTAACCACAGCAAATCTGGAGCAGCATTTATGAATTTATTTAAGTCATTAGTTATTCAGTGTCATCATTTATTCAACAGTAAATCTGACTTTCATGCTTGTGTTATGATTTTGGAAGAAATGTAAGATTTTGTAGTATTTCATTGGTGACATTATTTTAGAAGGTAGCTGTCTTTTGTCAGGAATTTCACTGCCCAAAGTGACATCTATCTTTATTGACAAATAGTCCACATTTTGTCATCAGTTAAATAAACTTTAGGACTTCTGTTGTGTCACAGCCTTTAGCCTTGGTCAGTAAATAAAAAAAATGGATGATAGTTATGCTTAGGGTAACAGTCAGGTCAGCAGAAGGCCTACTTGACCTTTGTTATGAACACACTTCATCTATCGTCTCCCACTTGTGGCGGTGGAGTACAGCTGCTCAGATAAGGGTGCCTCGCAGGCTCCGTTGTTATCGCTCCCAAGGTTAAGGGGAAGGGAGATTCCCTGTACTCCAAGCTCAACAGACATGTGCATGGCGTTAAAGACAGTCGAGGAGAGTTAGAGAAACTTCACACAGCCATAGATTGGGACAATAACATAATTGGGAACGTGGAGAAACTCGCAAGGGAATATTGTTTAGGTTAAATGCAAAAACTGGGCAAGGACACCCTCCGAATCTCTGGACAGCATTCACAGTGTTACACTCTGTATGTTGAGCTGTGATTCTCCTCAGTTGAGTCGTCATTAAATACTGTGTGTGTGATCCATCAAAGTCTAGATCCCAGGGGACATTTTTTTGTATTTGGGGGCTGGTTAAATGTGTAATTTGTGGTAGATTTTATTTAGTTGAACTATTAATATTATATACAAAATCTGAATCTCACTCTGAGTTACTGTTGTTGTTCACAAACAAACTTTTGTTTAGTTTTTACTGAATATTTGAAGGCAAACTTTAAAACTATATCGCGTAATTGTTGCAATTATATTATCTTAAA